AAGATCGATTTGTGTCCATCTAGTGTTGACACTTAGCTTTAAATTTAGAAATAATATATTTGTTAAGCATAAATATCAACACTAGTTGATCCTATTGATGACAAAATTGATTTTCTTGCAAGATCGATTTGTGTCAATCTAGTGTTGCTATTAAGCTTTAATTTAGGAATAATGTGTTTGTTAAGCATAAGTATCAACACTAGTTGATCTTATAGATGACAAAATTGATTTTCTTGGAAGATCGATTTGTGTCCATCTAGTGTTGACACTTAGCTTTAAATTTAGAAATAATAAATTTGTTAAGCATAAATATCAACACTAGTTGATCCTATTGATGACAAAATTGATTTTCTTGCAAGATCGATTTGTGTCCATCTAGTGTTGCTATTAAGCTTTAATTTAGGAATAATGTGTTTGTTAAGCATAAGTATCAACACTAGTTGATCCTATAGATGACAAAATTAATTTTCTTGGAAGATCAATTTGGTGTCCATCTAGTGTTGACACTTAGCTTTAAAAAGTTGTTAAAGTTATAAAGTTGTTAAGTTGTTTAAATAAGTTAAATTAAATAATGTGATTTTGTTGATGGATTTAGTTGTTGGAATTAAGTCAAAACTAATGTAGTTAAAGTTAAAAAGTTGTTAAGTTGTTTAGATAAATTAAAATAAATAATGTGATTTAGTTGGTGGATTTAGTTGTTGTATTAAGTCAAAACTAAACTAGTTAAAGTTGTTATGTTGTTTATATAAGTTAAAATAAATAATGTCGGTTTAGTTAGTGAATTTAGTTGTTGGAATTAAGTCAAAACTAATGTAGTTAAAGTTCAAAAGTTGTTATGTTGTTTAAATAAGTTAAAATAAATAATGTCGGTTTAGTTAGTGAATTTAGTTGTTGGAATTAAGTCAAAACTAATGTAGTTAAAGTTAAAAAGTTAAGTTTGTTTAAATAAGTTAAAATAAATATTGTGGTTTAGTTGGTGGATTTAGTTGTTCGAATTAAGTCAAAACTAAACTAGTTAAAGTTGTTAAGTTGTTTAAATAAGTTAAAATAAATATGTCAAAACTAGTTAGACTTAGAAAGTGGTTAAGTTGTTTAAATAAATTCAAATGTTATTTAGTTGATGGAATTAAAATTATCATTATTGTTTGTGTAGATGAATCATGATCGTAGTTGGATGTATAATAGAAACAATCCTGGTCGAGCGGGTATGATTCCAGAATTTGCAGAAGGTGTCACTAGATTTATAAATCATGCAATGACACTTGATGATTTTTTAAATTCAAGATTGATTAGGTGTCCGTGTGTTAATTGTGAAAATGTGAGATATTATACAACAGAGACTGTTGCTATGCATCTTATGATGAATGGATTCAAACCAGGGTATACAGTTTGGACTAGCCATGGTGAGGTTGAAAGTGACACTATGTTTAATAACTTTGTTGTCGGTGAAAGTAGTAGATCTATCGAGCATAATTATTTCCAAGGTTCTAGAATGTCAGATATGATTAATGATGCTTTTGGGATGCATTCTTATTTTGAACAAGGAGAAAATGTAGAAGAAGCTCCTAATGAAGAAGCAAACATCTTTTATGAACAATTGCGTGATTGTAGTAGTCCTTTGTTCAACGGGAGTCAACACTCTAAATTGTCTGTTGCAGTTAGATTGTTAAGTATCAAATCTGACAATAATATTTCTCAAGGAGCAATGGACTCTATGATAGAACTTATGAAGGAATTAGTTGATCCCAATGTAGAGATTCCTGATTCTTATTATAAAGCAAATGCATTGGTGTCTAAGTTAGGACTCTCCTCGATAAGAATTGATTGTTGTGAAAAAGGTGGCATGTTATACTATAAGGAGGATATCAATCTAGAGTCTTGTAAGTTTTGTAGTCACCCTCGCTATAAGATTGGTTCTACCGGAAAGAAACTTGCTATTAAGGTGATGCATTATTTACCTCTTATACTAAGATTGAAAAGGTTGTATGCATCAAATAGCTCTGCTCCTCATATGAGATGGCACCGTGAAAATAGAAGGCCACCTGGTGTCATGTGTCATCCATCTGACGGAGAGGCTTGGAAACATTTTGATAGAACTTATCCAGATTTTGCTGCTGAACCAAGGAATGTTAGGCTGGGTTTGTGTGCGGATGGTTTCACCCCTTTTTCAGTTGGGGCTACACCATATTCTTGTTGGCCTGTGTTTATTACACCGTATAATCTTCCACCTGAGATGTGTATGACAAGCCCGTATATATTTCTGAATTGTGTCATTCCTGGTCCGAGTAATCCAAAAAGCAAGATTGATGTGTACTTACAACCTTTGATTGATGAGTTGAAATTGTTGTGGTCTGAGGGGGTAGAAACATGGGACATTTCTCGTAAACAAAATTTCAACATGCGTGCTACTTTAATGTGGACTATTAATGATTTTCCTGCCTATGGAATGCTAACTGGATGGATGACAGCTGGAAAGTTAGCATGTCCCTACTGTATGGAAGATACTAAATCATTCACATTAAAACATGGCCGAAAGAATTCATGGTTTGATTGTCATCGTCGGTTCTTGCCACCTGATCATGAGTTTAGGAGAAAGAAATATGCATTTAAAAAGAATAAAACTGAACGAGATGGTCCACCCCCAATATTAACGGGTGATGATATTTGGGAAAGGGTTCAAAATTTTCCAAAGGTAACTGAGGAACCACTGTACAAATTTGATGGGTATGGTGTTGCACATAATTGGACTAAACAGAGTATATTCTGGGAGTTACCTTATTGGAAGGATAATTTGCTTAGACATAATCTCGATGTCATGCATATTGAAAAGAATTATTTTGATAATTTGTTCAACACTGTAATGGATGTAACTGGCAAGACAAAAGATAATGTTAAGGCTAGACTTGACTTACCAGAACATTGTAGACGACCGGAGTTGCATTTACAGGAGTCTGCCAACAACAAGTTACTTAAGCCCAAGGCTAGTTATTCATTCACAATGGAACAAAAGATAAAAATTTGTGAGTGGGTGGAAAGCTTGAAAATGCCAGATGGATATGCCTCAAATTTGGGAAAGAAAGTTGACATTGAGCGTGGAATATTGCATGGGATGAAAAGTCACGACTGTCATGTTTTTATGGAACAATTACTTCCGATTGCTTTTTGTGGATTACCTAAAAACATATGGAAACCGATGGCAGAAATCAGTTTGTTCTTCAAAGACTTGTGTTCCAGCACATTGATAGTAGAGAATCTGGTTCGGATGGCCAAAAATATAGTTGTTATTAGTAATAAGTTGGAGAAGATTCTTCCACCTGGGTTCTTTGATGTGATGGAACATCTTCCTATTCACCTTGTTCATGAAGCTCTACTGGGAGGTCCAGTTCAATATAGGTGGATGTATCCTTTTGAGCGGTAAGTAACTATAACACATTTATTCTTATTTCATAAATCGTTAATATATCTTTTGAAATTATATATCTAATATAAAATTTTACAGGAGCATTGGCAAGTCTAAAAGGGGTATTAAGAATAAACATAGGGTGGAGGGCTGTATGGCTCAAGTATATCTAGCTAAAGAAAGATCCCACTTTTGTTCTTACTACTTTGATGATTATGTGTCGTGTTTGAGAAACAGACCTAATCGACATGATGTTACTGGGAATGATCCTGCAGTACAATCATTATCAATCTTCAACCAACCGGGTAAGGGTTCAAAAAAGCGTACATTGCACAAACTTACCGAAAAGGAGAAAAAATCTGCAGAGCTTCATGTCTTGTTGAATTGTCCAGAAGTGCAACCCTTCTTAGAGTAAGAAAATTAAATATGTAAACAACATATATTCAACTCCGATTTTATTAAGGAAACTAACTGTATTTTTAATGTGATTCTACAGTTATTTTATGAGCCAATATGGTGATGATCAAGTGTTTCCATCATTTATAACATGGTATACTAATTGGGTAAGTGTTGTAATATATACACCTACTAAGAGATTAGTGTACTCTTCCTTCTACTAACATTGCTTTTAATTTACTAATTATATATAGGTCTACAATTCAGAAAATGTCGCCATATTTGATCAATTTTTCAAGGATATTTCTTGGGGACCGATTACAGTTCACACAATGTCCCAATATAACGTAAATGGTTTTAAATTTGCCACAGAGAAATACTCAAAGAATAAGAAAACTAATAATAGTGGTGTTTGGGTTAAAGGTGATAATGGAAATCAAAATGAGAATGTTGATTATTTTGGCGTCCTACAGGAGATTGTAGAGTTGAAGTATTCGGGTTGGCCAATCAAAAGAATAGTACTTTTCCAATGCAAGTGGTTTGATCCAACTCCAAGAGGTACGAGGGAGCTTAAGCAACATAATATCATTGAAGTCAATCACACTAGGAAGTATGAGGCTTATGATCCTTTTATTATTGCACAAAATGCTAAGTGTACTATGCTCCTTATCCGTTGCGTAGGGATAAGTCTAATTGGTGGGTTGTAATCAAAACAAAACCGATGGGGCGAGTGGAAGTTGAGAATGAATTGGATGTTGCATATCAAAATGAAATATCAAGTGTTCATCAAGTAGTGGATGCTGAGTTAGAAATAAATTTGGAGCATCCTGATCACATTTTAGAAGAAGTTAATAGAGAAGAGTTAGATATGCCAACAAATATGGAGGAGGATGAGGAGGAAACTTTCGAAGAGGATGAATGGATAGATGAGGAGGAAACTTCCGAAGATAATGCATGTGAATGGATAGATGATGAAGAAACTTCCGAAGAGGATGAATAACAATTTGTATGTTTAGTTGGTGGATTTTTAGCTATTCATATTTGAGTATACTTTATATTTTAGTAGTTTTAACGTTTGTTTGACATTGTAAAAGACTATTTGGATTAAGTCTTATGTTATGATAACTTTGTTTGATATATTTGTTCGACATTGTGACATTATTTTGTACTACTTTGTTTTAATCTTTATATTTATTTGATATAGATGGTAGATAAAGACAAGGGTAAATCAAAAAAATCCGATAATCCGAAAAAGAAATTTAAGGCCAATGCTATGAGAAGGCCCACTGGGGTCGTGATATCTGATGAGCCCTCTCGAGTTAATATTTCAAAAAAAGCCTCAGTTTCAACTACTCACTCGACACACCAGTCACATAATGCCTCTATTCATGTGTCTCCACAATCTGGTTATACTATATCTACACCCACTATGGTACCTAGTTCGGGTTACCAAACATTGCAGGGCTATTCACATCTTGGTCGTGGGTCTAACATACCATCAGCTAGTGCTAGTCAGTGCAATAGTTTGAATACTAGTAGTGGATCAATTGGACTTTCCAATCTTCATATTGAATCCAATGGCTCAGAGCCTAATACTCCTACCACCCAGCACTCAGATGCACATGGTCCTCAGCCAGGCGATAGAGATAATTTTCGGAGACTCGTCATCGAGCCATTAGGATACAAATATGATTTAATTATGTTTCATCTTTCATTTATCTATTTATATTTTAATTGATTGATTATTTTTTGTTTACTCTACTTCGTCAATGAATTCGTATTTCAACTTACGTTCGGATATGGGTATGGCAAAGATTATTTTAAAGTGCATCGGAACTCACTATAATGGTGTGTATCCGAATTGAAGTTCGATTCCACTTAACAACCAAGGGCAGATGTTCAATGAATTTAAGGTAAGAATATATATAAATTAAATTCATATCATATACATTTAAATTCTCTAGTCATTTGAACAATAAATATTTAGTAATTTTTTATTACAGAAATATTATGTATGGGCTCCCGAACACGAGGATGACATTCAAGTGAACTTCAAGCTTAAAGCTTCAAAGTTGCTTTCTAGCACATTTTGTGATTGTCGAAAAAAAAATAGAATGCCTAAGTTTATGTTTCCGGAGCGATGGGCTTTGTTACTGAAACATTGGAGTACTGATGAAAAATTTAAAAAGAGGAGTGAGATTGGGAAGATGGCTCGCGCATCAGAAAAGGGAGGCTCTTTGCACACTGGTGGAGCTATTAGCCAGGTTACTAGGAAGGAAAGAATGGTATACTTTCTTAATTTAGTAAAATAATTTTTCTTTTTTGATAAGCACTTTTTGGAGATTAATGAGATCAAATTCTATATATGTTATTTGCAGGAAAAAGAGTTGGGTAGGCCGGTAGCTGTACCAGAGATGTTCAAGGTTACTCACGTCAAGAAGAGTATGAACCCCACAGAAGAAGAAAGATGGATTGAGCCACATGCTCAAGAGACATATGTAAGAACTCCATTCAAACTATTTTTTTTTCTTTTCCTTGTATATATTACATTCTTATTCATTGAGTTCTTTGTTTAAATTACAGGATAGGTATATGCGAATATCTCAGGAATATCGTAGTACTCTACCTCTTGAGAGTCAGGACAGACCATTTACACAAGAAAAAAACGAGAATCTTTGGAAACAGAGTGCTGGTGAACCGATTAGAGGTTCAATCTACGGCCATCCAGAAAAGGCGTATCAGATGAAGAAGTCTTGGTATTGTGGTTCATCATCCTCAAGCTTTGATGGTGGGGATAGAGAGACAATATCTGCAATGGAGAGTAAGATAACTTATCTCAATGCCGAGCTTGCTGCTGTAGCCGAAAGAGAGAAGAAGAGAGAAGAAAGAGAGAAGAAGAGAGAGGAGGAGATTGCGGCAGCAAAGGAGGTAGAGAACAAGAGGTATGCAGCGCTTCAGGCCCAACTAACTTTTCTTTTTGAATCAAGAAATATTCTTCCTCCATGTCCGGCTAGCAGTGATGGATTTGATCAGGAGGGTGATGAGAATGATAAGGAGAGTGAGGGTGATGAAGAGTAGTTGTATCTATTTGACATTTTAGACTTCTATATTTTTAGAATTGTTTAATTTGATCGTAGTTTAGTTTATTTTGAAGTTGGATGAAGTTTATTTTGAAATAGTTTGTATATGTTGAAAATATTGTGTTGTTTTGGTTGGATGAAGTTTATTTGGCTTTGGTTGAATGAATTTTATTTGGCTTTGGTTTGTTTTGGTTGGATGAAGCTTATTTGGCTTTGGGTTGTTTTGGTATAAATATGCAGGTGGGCAACTAAAAATTGCAGCAATTTGTTGCCTGTTTTGCAGCAAAAAACCGATCTTCGGAGGTCGGAATTTCAACATTACAAAAATAAAAATACCGACCTCCAGAGGTCGGAATTTCAAAAATACAAAAATAAAAATACCGACCTCCGGAGGTCGGAATTTCTACATTACAAAAATAAAAATACCGACCTCCGGAGGTCGGAATTTCAAAAATACAAAAATAAAAATATCAAAAAAAAAAAATAAAAATACGACCTCCGGAGGTCGGAATTTCAATATTACAAAAATAAAAATACCGACCTCCGGAGGTCGGAATTTCAACATTACAAAAATAAAAATACCGACCTCCGGAGGTCGAATTTCAACATTACAAAAATAAAATTACCGACCTCCGGAGGTCGGAATTTCAACATACAAAAAAAAAGATATCAATTTAAAAAATACAAAAATAAAAATACCGACCTCCGGAGGTCGGAATTTCAACATTACAAAAATAAAAATACCGACCTCCGGTGGTCGGAATTTCAACATTACAAAAATAAAAATACCGACCTCCGGAGGTCGAAATTTCAACATTACAAAAATAAAAATACCGACCTCCAGTGGTCGGAATTTAAGAAAATGAATATTCCGACATAAAATAAAAACCGACCTCCAGAGGTCGGTATTGAATAGCGACCAAGCTTTTTCCGACCTAAGCTGGGATGTCGGTTTTAGGTCGGTATTTCAAGGAATACCGACCTCCGGAGGTCGGTATTTATAGGTCGGTATTCACAGTTTTTTTAGTAGTGATAGTACAAAATGGTCGGGACTCGGGAGGTACATTTTCAAGCCATATATATACATAATATAAAACTATTTTTTGTATTGGAGAGCCTTTTATACGCACTATGATTTAATATCACAAGTGATGTTAAGTAGATATATTGACATTACTAATCAAATTCTCTTAGAGAGGTATTTCTTTGGGAAAAAGGATTAAGGCTTTTAGATATTTTGGCCAACTTTTGGTAAAGCAAGGTTAATGTTATTATGTTATATGGAAGTAAAAATTTGGAGACAATGATTATGGATGAACTCATGCGAAATAATTATTTTATTATATCACCTTTAATAATTTATAAATCGTCTAAATACTAAAAAATCAATGTATTTAATAATAAAGATAAAATAAGTATAAAATGAAAATTTAAATAAGTCCCTATTTCCAACATTTTTAAAAAGTGAAAGTGTTTTAAAAACTTGAACTTTTCTTTTCACCACCAATATTGAGGGAGAAATAATTTTCATTAAAGCACAGAACACTTCATATTCCCTCCTTTCATACTCCTTCCACTTCCCATTTATACTTACTAATTTACTATATATTCAACAATCCTACATGAATGAGGAATGACTATAAACATAAATGAACATATTCTCTCCATTTAGCATATATTTTTTTTAGGTCTCTTCTCTCTCTACTCTTCTCTCAACGGATATATTCACAACTCGCGTAGCTTACATGCTCCGTCCTTATGGACCCGCCGGACGGCCCCGATAAGGCGAGTCTGAAAGGTCAGCAGGTCCCTCCCAAGAGGTGAACCAACCCGCGGAATCACTTACTACGAAAAACTCATATACCAACGCAATTTGTTGATCCCCAATTTCTACCCATAACCCAAACACCATGCAAGACAGTATGAGTAGCTAGTCCAAGCGAAACAAACTACTCACAATGGAGTCACAACAGTATTGCTCAAAGCTTCATATTTGTAACGGCATGTTCCCGTCGTTATAGAAAAGCCAATTGGGGAATAATTGGGGCCAGAAAACTTTTGAGTAGTAACTTAGAATTTTCCAATCTAGTCCAGATTTGGACGAAATCAGAGTCGTTAAGGTGTAGGGAAATCGGGTGACTTATTTCTGATTTTGATTACATGAGTGGTTAGATAAGTCGTTAAGGAACCTATACAACTTTAAAGAATTGAATTCTAGTGTCACGACCTAGGGGTACCCCCTAGACGTAACACGACGTACTCGACCCCGAAGGGGGTCTAATATAAGCCCTTAGCGTCATCATAACATATGATCATAGAAAAGTAGGGAAAATTTAAAACTTTCTTTAAAACATTCAAGTGAAAACATTTCATAGAAGTGGAAGTCTTTACTAAGTCTATGCATGTCTCAAACCATCTATGAATAACACGAATAAAAGTCTTGGGACGCAACCCATAAAAATTCTAAAACATAGGAAAAGACACAAAAGGAACATAGTGGGTTTGTCCTCGAAGCTATGAGGACTCACCAATTCTTCAACTCTTCAAACGCCTTAGAAACCTAGCCTCCAAAGCAACTCAATCACCAACACCCTACATTTGGTTAGAATGTAGGCAATATGCGTTAGTACAAAATGTACCAAGTATGAAAGCTAACATACCAACATAAAACATCTCAAGATGGTTAGTCAACATAACACATAATCATTAGAGACAATAACATAATTCCAACATAAGCATTATATCATCACAAGTCAGCATAAAACATACATAAATTCATATTTCAACCATTAGTCCTTCATATTCAAGAGAACTACTCCACAAGCAACCTCCAAGCATACTTGTACAAGGCAAGGATAGCATCCCATAATACTATCCAAGCTAAGTACCTCTCTTTGGTCATTCTTGGTCGTAGTCTTCATAGTCAAGACCTAAGTTTTCATATCATAAGAGCACTTATACTCCTAAGTAACCTCAAGGGACACTTCTGCAATGCATGTGGTGCATCCCATAATACCACACACTAAGCATATCTTGAAGTCACCCTATTCATATTTACCTTATCTTGGTGTCACTATCGATCTACTTCATATTGACAAGGAACTACCATCTTAAGTCAATCATGTCATGGAAGGAAACTATAGCAACAATCCAAGCTAGGCATGCATCACATAAGGAGACACTTCATAAGTAGCTTCAAGTCAAACTTGTGCCATGTATGAGTGACATCCCATATACCACTCACACTAAGTACCCCTTTAGGCTAACTTACTCAATGCTTACTATTCATCATTCTAGGCTATCAAGAATAGCATACTACTATGCTAGACCTAACTACCATGGAAAACATCCTTTCATGCAATCCAAGCTATCCTAGGAAGGATACAAATATACCAACCTAGCTACCATGCAAACATTCAATAGGATGCAAGCTACCCTTAGGGGAGTATGAATCCTCAACCCTAAGCTATCCTTAGGAGAGTATGGTGTCTCAATCCTAAGCTACCATGAAATTGTCTTGGCCTAACCAAGTCAAGCTACCATGAAGGCATTCTAATAATGCTAGTTCAAACTACCCATATGAGAGTATAGATCATCAATCCTAGGCTACCATGAGAAGCATCCTACCAATGCTAATTCAAGCTAATCTTAGGAGAGCTTAATTCCTCAATCCCAAGCTACCATGAGATCTACCATCCCAAGCCACCATGAGATCTACCATTCCAAGCTTCATAATTCAACTATACATGAAGGAATCATAAGACTCAACCTCAAGATTTTCTATTCTAGCAAGCATGATTCATTTTAGGTGATTAACCCTTCACATTCTACATACAAGCATTCATATAGTTCTAGGTAGGTCATATGGGTAAAAGCCTTTCACCATAACTCTATCTATGTTGTATACTAATTCTATGCAAGCTAGTTCATCATAATATACTTACTCATTAAGCCCTAGTGATCAACATCATGACTTCAATCCCTACATTCAAGCTTTACTCCACAATCATCATACTAGTCTAGATCGCCAAAACACATTAGCCCTAAGCCTTAGTCATAGGCAATTCTAAGCATTCATCAAAAGTCCCAATTCTAATTATTTCAATTCATATTCTATCATACATGTATAAGTCTAGTTCAATTCATAATTTCATATTCCCCTTTCTTGGACAAGTTCTATACATGATAACAACCCAAGAGAATCTATCATGAATCATCAATTTCTCATCCATAGCATAAACCCACATACTTTAAAAATTAGGGTTAACCAAGGAATTCACATAAACTCTTCATAATATCATGAATCAACACTAAATTAATCATATATGCGTAGTATCCAACCCTTTGGAATCATACCCACCTAAAACCCATACATCGGAAGTAACCCTAGTTTGATTGGGGTTCTTCTTCACAAATTTGGGGAAATTCTAGGGGACTCTATGGGTGGAAGAATCCATACATGAAAAGCTAAACATACCTTAAATCAAAGCCCTAGCACAAGCTTTCAACAATGGACTTTGTTCTTGACCCAATATCCAAGCTCTATTTTCTTCTTCTTCAATGAAGGTTCTTCTTAGAAAGAGAAATATTTGAGAGAGGAGGGATTTGGGTTTTCTAAAAATTCTAGGGAGAATGACTTAATTGAAGTGAACATAGGTCTAATAAGCTTATATAGTTGCTAGGAAAGCACTAGGATAAAGTAGGGTCAATTTTGGTAAAGAACTAAGGACCCTTCACGTTTTAACTTAAAAATGACTAAACTTCACAAATTACCTCGCCCTTTGCACCCTAATGGCTCGCCAAGGGCACTAGGAGACTCACCAAGTGGACCCTTGGCTCGCCCAAATTTTCAGTAAGCTCAATAATGGGGCAGTTCACTTAGGCCATCTAGGGGGTCATTGGGCGATTCGCCAAGTAGATTGGCTAGCTATGACTTAGCTCACCCTTTTGTCCAGCACCTAGGCCAAAAGGGCAGTCCACTAGGTGACCTTAGGTTCCCTTTGGCGCATCGCCAAGTGCCTTGGGCAATCAAGCTGCCCAATCACCAACTAGGCATCTAAGAGAACAAGTTCTCTTTTACTCTACCTTGATAGCTTAGGCCCTTGCAACCCTATACCACTCCATAGATAGTCTTATAAGCTATGAGGTCCAACATGTATCTTGATGTTTAACTACTAAGCCCCTCATTCAAAGTACGGAAAGTCTAATCTACGACTCTAATCACATACATCATACCGTAGAATCCTAGCTTGTGGCTCTAGTTTGGTCTACTAGTTTTTGAGGTGTTACAATATCTCCCCCTTGGAAACATTCGTTCGCGAATGACCTTTCTAAACACTTCCCAAAAGGAACAACTCTAGACTAGTAGCCCAATATTCATGCACTACATCTAAATGCACACAACCAAGGAGGAAAACTTCAACTCCAAGCTAAGCATAATCAATGCAACACAAGGGAGTAGGGTCTACATCTACCAACCCAACATGCATGAAACTCTTTATCTATTCAACTTCAAGGAGGAACTACCATCTCCTAGCTACCACATGCTCAACACACACTACATGGAGACTAAAATTAACATTGACTCAAAGATGTTACAACATGAGGCAACAATGCATGTAAGTCATATCTAATAAGATATAGACATTTTCATGAACATGCATATGAGGAAATCATAGCAACACATAATCACATATAGCCTTATTAGGTAGGTACACTATCCCCCCGGGAGCAAACCTACACATGCTTTTCTAAACATCATTCATAGCAAGGACAACATCAAGCCCAACATAGCAAGTCATAAAATACAAGAAATCTAGAAATTTTTCTAAAACATAAAAGAAGCACATACCGGAAGGGACATGAGGAGATCACTCATGATTTTCTCTAGTTGGAGAGCATATGACCTATTCTTCTTTTGAGGCTCCACATCCTCACTACAAGAGGAAACTTTCTTACCCTCTCTTCTCTTAGACTTAAGAACCGGGAAGTCCCTCATACCCACTACATCTCTCAAGGTTGGAAATTTCTAGAAATCCCTAATTGGAGAGCATATGACCTATTCTTCTTTTGAGGCTCCACATCCTCACTACAAGAGGAAACTTTCTTACCCTCTCTTCTCTTAGACTTAAGAACCGGGAAGTCCCTCATACCCACTACATCTCTCAAGGTTGGAAATTTCTAGAAATCCCTAATTCATAAACATCAAGGATACTCAACGACCTTGCTATCTAAGCACATCACCTCCCCCTTGAGAGCAAGCCTATTCAAACTCTTTTAGGCATCACTAAACTTTCACATCATCACACAAAAATATTTTATACCCAGGTGAATTAAACTTCTACCCTTCTTAGAGGATTTTATTCACTCAACTCAACCTAGGCATTTCTCAAAACACCATATTCAACCAATCCATCAACATACTTCAAAAAAAAATAATCATCATTACTAAGTAGGATTCTACCAACAACCAAGAAAAACCTCATAATCACCTTGCTAGGTAGGTACAGTATCTCCCCCTTGGGAGTAAGCCTACACAAACTTTTCTAAACATCTTTCATAACATAAAGGCAACAATAAATCATCATCCATACTAAAGTAAACATCAAAGTCTAATATCTCAAATCTTACCAAGTCACACAACTGTAATTAGTATCTCAACCAACCTTTCTCTCTCACTCCTTGTAGCATAAATCATTCTAATAGTCATATCCTAAAGACCATTGAATAAGGGATAAGAGAGAGAGCTTATAGAACTATGGCATGACTTGGAGAATGAAAAAGTGAGATTTTTCCTAAGCATCCATAGCCTCATATTCATAAATGTGTCGTGATTCACATCCATGAATAAGACTATACTTGGACGTGGTTTGAGACATCTTAAAACTTATCCTAAAACCTGCCTCTGATACCAAGTTTGTCACGACCCAGGGGTACCCCCTAGACGTAACACGGCGTACTCGACCCTGAAGGGTTCTAATACATGCCCTTAGCGTCATCATAACATACGATCATAGAAAAGTAGGAAAAATTTAAAACTTTCTTTAAAACATTCAAGTGAAAACATTTCATAGAAGCGAAAGTCTTTACTAAGTCTATGTCTCAAACCATTTATGAATAACATGAATAAAAGTCTTGGGATGCAACCCATAAAGATTCTAAAACATAGGAAAAGACATAAAAGGAACATAATGGGTTTGTCCTCGAAGCAATGAGGACTCACTAATTCTTCATGTTTTAAAATGCCTTAGAAACCTAGCCTCCAAAGCAACTCAATCACCAACACCCTACATTTGGTTAGAATGTAGGCAATATGCGTTAGTACAAAATGTACCAAGTATGAAAGCTAACATACCAACATAAAACATCTCAAGATGGTTAGTCAACATAAGACATAATGCAAGCTACCAAGTCAAGATACCATGAAGACATTCTAACAATGCTAGTTCAAGCTACCCATATGAGAGTATAGATCCTCAATCCTAGGCTACCATGCCTATACTAATGCAAGCTACCATGAAAAGTATTCTACCAATGCTACTTCAAGCTAACCTTAGGAGAGCTTAATTTCTCAATCCCAAACTACCATGAGATCTACCATCCCAAGCCACCATGAGATCTACCATCCCAAGCTTCATAATTCAACTATACATGAAGGAATCATAAGATTCAACCTCAAGCTATTCTATTCTAGCAAGCATGATTCATTTTAGTTGATTAACCCTTCACATTCTACATACAAGCATTCATATAGTTCTAGGTAGGTCATATGGGTAAAAGCCTTTCACCATAACTCTATCTATGTTGTATACTAATTATATGCAAGCTAGTTCATCATAATATACATACTCCTTAAGCCCTAGTGATCAACATTATGACTTCAAGCCCTACATTCATGATTTACTCCACAATTATCATACTAGTCTACCATCCCAAGCTACCATGAGATTTACCATCCCAAACATCATAATTCAACTATACATGAAGGAATCATAAGACTCATGCACCTTAAGCTATTCTATTCTAGCAAGCATGATTCATTTTAGGTGATTAACCCTTCACATTCTACATACGAGCATTCATATAGTTCTAGGTAGGTCATGTGTGTAATACCTCGAAATACTAACCAAGAGTCACATGTTGATTAATTTACCGTTGCTTAATTACTACAATATGTTTTACTCTCATTTTGGGAACTTGAAATGTTGTGCTATTTGCTAACTTGCTTAATATAAATTGTGATCGTAATTTAAGGGATTGTATTGGAGTGTTTACATAATATTCTAATTAGAATTATGTATAGCTTTAAAAGGAGGTGAAGCATAGATATATAGAGTTTCAACCCAATTACTAGTGCCTTTTCCAAGATTTAGTGAG